AGGTAAAGATTAATTTTGGGAATTTAAGCCCTGTACAAAGATTGCACAGTAGTAAGTGTGGATGTTCTGAACAGGGAGTAATTTAGATCTATAAAGGGGGAGGGGTGTTGCCGGGGATGGGTTTTAGTGATTATTCTTACTGCGCTTTTGGGGATTTATTGGGCTTTGGGGTGTGTTGCGCAGTTTCCCCCAAAGCAAGATAGCATAGGTGAGGTAGGTTGTAAAATGAATGGTAAGTGAGGAAGGCGTTTGCGGTAGTAGATCGTATTTGGAGAGGATCCCCCCCGTTTTGGATACTTTTTTTGTTATTGTTTGGATTGGGTGTAAATTTAGGTCGAGGGATAGGCCCAAAGGAAATTTTCCCCATTATGTCTGGCAATTGGTGTTGTCGATCTTAATGTTAAATTGCGCCACTGCTTGCTACCAACATAATTAGTGGTTTTGCCGTGTTTAAATGTAATTTATTGGCTGTCATCCAAGTCAATTTTGGCGCTCCCGTTAACAATGGTGTTGAGGGGGGCAGATTAGGGTGGGAATTTGGGTAAGTCGTGTGTCAGCAAAGAGAATGGGGGTTTAGGTGTTGGGAATGTTTTGGGAAAATCTTTATGTAAAAGAGGAAGAGCAGGGGTCCAAAAGGGCATTCCCTGCAGAACTCCAGTATTTAATGGGGTTTGATGAGGCTGTGCTTTAATGGTGACATTGATCCTATTAAAAGGTAGGATTGAAATATGCAAACGCATGGCCCCCTTATACCATGGGTCATGTTTTTTGGAGTGGTGCCGGGTTACTGTGTCAAACGTTTTCTTGGGTCAATAAAATTTTCCCGCGGATATTCCTTATTTTTCCATGCTGTGAAAGCAGGTCTTCTTTTTTATAATTGATATTTGTGCTTTTTTTTTTCCTGAACCAAACTGGCGGGGTGAGTATGTTTTGTGACGTTATAAATGAATATAGTCTCCTGTGCACGAGTTTCTTGAAGATTTTGGATAGCAATGGTAAGTTTGATATTGGCCTATAGTTGTTTACGTCTGTAGGGTCACCACCTTTATGTATTGGTGTAACCCTTGCTGTCTTGAGTAGTGTCGGGAAAGTGACAGTTTCTAGTGACTTGTTGAAAAGGAATGTAATAGCATGTGAAAGGACATGGGCCGCTCGCTTGTACAATAATGGTGGGACGTGAGACAGATTCCCCGAGTTATTTTTAAGTGACTTTATGATCGCGGTGACCTCCGTGGGCTCACTTGGTACAAGATAGAAGAAATTTGGGAAATTCCCATCTAGGTAGTCCCCGGCACAGGCATTGGTACGTGGGATTTTACTGGTGAGATTAGATCCTATGTTTGAGAAGAAGTCGTTTATCTTGTTAGCTGTATCAGTGGGATGCAGTGGTGTTTCATGAGGTTGAGTTAGAACAATATTCTTGTTTTTTTTCAGTTTATGGGTCCCCAGAATCTGGGAAAGTGTTTTCCAGGTCTTTTTTATATCTCCTCTTGTGTCAGTGAATCTGCTGGAGTAGTACAGTTGTTTGGCTTTCTTTATTAATTTGGTGAGAACTGTTGAATATTGTTTAAGAATATCTTTGTGTATTAAGTCCTGTCTATATTGCTTTTCATATTGGTGTTTCTTATCAATGGATTTCAGAATGCTGCTGGTTAGCCATGGGCAACCAAGCCGTTTATTCATGATCTGTTTCGTTTTTATAGGACAATGTTTGTTGTATAGTCTAAGTATTTTGTTAAGAAAAATGTCTGTCCAATCGTCACTGGAGAATTCTGTAGGCCAGTCAACAGTCTCTAGGTCTGCTGTGAAATTCTTTAATGAGGCCTCGTCATGGAGTCTAAATGAAACTTTGTTGTATTCCAGTGGTGGCTTACTAATGTTTGTTAAGAGGAAGGTTGGGTAGTGATCAGTAGCTCTGTCTGTGATTATCCCTGATTTAAGGGGGCTAGTATATTGGCCCATATGTGTTCTATTATGGTTGCACTTGTTTCAGTCAGCCTGGTTGGTTTAGTTATTGTTGGTATGAGAAGTATGCTGTTCACATTGTTGATGAAATCAGTTACAGTCTTATCATCTGGTAGGCCAAGGTTGATATTGAAGTCTCCAGCTAAGAGAAGGTGGTGCTTGTTCATTTGTCTGTTTATTATTAGTGACTTTAGATTCTCAATGAAGTTTGGGATGTTTATGTGGGGTATCCGGTATATGGCACCGATTGTTATAGGCGTCTTGAGGTTTTTACAGTAAAATTAGCAAAAATGTATTCCCCATATTCATCACTAAAGCAATTAGTGCTAATACAAGAGAGTTGGTTAGAGTAATAGATTGCAGTACCACCCCCAACTTGGTATGATCTGCAGTTGTGGATTGCTGTTTATCCCGGTAGTGGGTAGATATCAACTGTGTCCTGCTTAAGCCAGGTCTCAGTAAGAATAATGCAGGAGAAGGGTGTCTTTAATGACTCAAGGAGTGCCAGGAGGTCATCATAGTGTTTGCTTAAGGACCTGATGTTGTATTTAAGAACTGATAGACTTTGAGCAGTGTTCAGGATAGTGCTGGCTTGTGATGCTGTGTAATAAAGGCAGTTACTTTCCAATAAATTTTGATCGTGTGTTAGATTATGGAGGTTTAGATCAGGGTCAACGTGATCATTCATCTTTTAGGTTTAAATAGTGGTTGCTTATATCCTGTATTATGTGTTAGATTGTGAAGGTGTAACGGCCCTTTCAGACCTTTGAGGGTCTGAAAGAGCAAAAAGGGCAAAACTCACAAAACATAAAACAATTAAACATGAACTATTCCTCTAATGCAAATGATGGAAAAATTAATTATATAAATAACTCCTATGAAACGAAGGTAATATATACATATGCATATATAGATGATATTCTGATTTGCCAATATTGTTCACAGTTCAGGAATCACTTTCGTGGAACCAGAAGCCGTTGATTATACTCGGTGGTCACTGGAGGACCTGACTGGTGAAGTTCATCTCCAGATGGTATAGATGCCAATCAGGGTACAGCTGGAGACGTAACTGATGGAGATTTGCTGAAGAGCATTTGAAGACAACCGTTGATTTTCCAATAGAGAAAAAGACTAGATAGTCACTGGAGGACATATCTCATTCGGTTCCGCCCGAGACAGTACCAATGACAATTTCACCACAGTGATGAGTAATGGAGTTTGGTTGTCGGCATTTGGAGAAAACATGAGATCTGCTGCAAGTGTAGAGGAAATGCAGAATTCCCTAAATAAAGACGTCAGAGAAACAGTTGCTAAGCCCAACGTTTAGAGGAACAGCAGAATTCCTCCCCCTCCCCCCCCCCAAAAAAAAAAAAAGATGGTGAGATATCACAGTTCGGATCTATGCCTAGATTCCGCTGCCCGCCTTGTGTTACCTGTGTCGATCAGCAAGGCTGGGAAAATAAATTACAATCCGGAAATGCAGTCACTCACAGTATAGGCTGAAGGCCTTTAAAAGAAATAATGAGGACTAAGAAAGAAAATTACGTTAAAATACTCAATTCAAATTAGATCCCGTTAAAATAAACTAAAACCCAAACAAAATATAACAAGATTGGAACTCTAGTTTAAATTAAATTAATTGAAAAGTCTTCACAATATAACAAATAACCAAGAGCGGAATTCAGTACTTACAGACTTGATGAGAGCAGAAAGCCAAGTGATGCTCATCCATCAGGAGGGTCCCTTGTTAACTCCCACAGGGTGGAGAAAGATGGGGGTGGTAAAGGGAACGACACACACCCCTTTCAGAACAAGGATACGATCATTTTCACTACCACCACCACTCATTCATGCTTCCGCTTTTATCTAATGAACTTTTCCTTCACATACATTGTCTCCCGCACCTCTTGCCAACACCTGAAAATGGTGGTCTCTGTTGATTTCTTCTGCCTTGCCTCACGGAATTTTCTCTCGAAATATCTAGAGCTACAAATTTCCATCCATGTGTTTCTTGTTCCGCATTGTTAAGATCGCCTGTTTGCGATTGTACTGCATATATACATCTTTATTTATGCATACTTTTAAATGTTCTATATATGCACACACTATATATTGCATAAATTTTAGTCCTGGTATGATAAAAATGTTTTCTTCTCAGGATAATGTCGATGACAGAAGCTGGGCTGTTCTTTCAGTGGCTTGAAGAAGACAGAGTGAACGCCACTGCGTGTTATCATGCTTCAAGCAAGATAACAGTCAATGCTGCACTTTCAATCAGTAATATTTGGGTAACCATGATTATTTTGTTTATTGTTTCTCCTGGTATTAAAATTGTTCAAGAAAATTATGAAATTAATTCAGTTGTCTTTCTTTATTTCAGGGAATGTTTGTTATTCTCTCTCTGGGACACCTCGCCAGTCTTTCCATATTCTGCATTGAACTTCTGATTAATCTGAGCTGTACCTCATTTCGGTAATATGTTTTTTAGAAAAATATTTTTTTAATTAACAAGGACAAAATATTTTTGGGGGGTTTTGTTTCATTAACTCCTATTATTTTTTATATATATTTTATAATGCGCCTCGGCATATGCATTCGTATTAATATTCTTCATTTTCTCATTATCTATTCATTCACGTCTCTTAATATTTTTTATGATAAATGATTAGCTGTCAAAGAGGATGCCTCCCTGTTATTCATTGTTTCCATTTTCATTTCGGTATTTTTACATCATTTAACAGCGTCATCTGTCTCCAAGTCACTTCCTCCTCTGCCATCACTCACATGCCTGTTGAACAAACATATACCCTCACTTTCCCCCACCTTCCCTTTTCCTATGTTTCCATCTTTCTTCCCCATCATACCTAAGCTCTGGTCATTTACTCAGTACCTTCAGTTCTTTGCCTGTTTGACTCACACTGTATATCATTGCCTATAAATATCAAAATCAATTTACTCTATTCTTAATCTTAACACACCTCTTCAAGGGGGGCTCCTTGGTGCAGTGAAGAGGCTCTTGGTCTGAGGAATTAGACCTTTTGGTCTCCTTCCCCAGACAGAACCTAATTATCCCCCAATCCCCCCTTCCCTATCCCATCCTCCCCATACCCCCTTTCCCTTTCCTCCTTCCCATTCCTCCTGTTTCCCCATCCCGTTTGTAGCCTCTGGGGTCCTCCTTTCTGGCATTACGGTTTCTAAGTAGGAGAAAGTGTACTCACTTAATTGTGGTTGCACGGGTCGAGACTCAGCTCCTGGCTCCACTGGGGTTCATCCTGCTCTGTGAGTTTCCTCGGGAGTGGTGTAGTTTGCCAGGATATCTGGATCACTTGGAGGCACCCTGCTCCCGTCCCGGATATCCAGGAGGTGGGGCCGGGTGTCCTGCAGCTGACGGGTGTATCTCCAGAGTCTGCCTGTCGGTTCTGGGAGGTGGCAGCCGAAGGAGGTATGCTTTGTGGTGGGTATCCAAATACCCTCTTTTTTGTCCACCAAGGTGGCTTGGTAGATGTGAGGTTGCTATCCTGGAGCACTGGTTTACTGTCGTGAAGGGTAGGGTATGGCACGGGTTCCATGCTGCATCTGCACTGCTGATGATCTCGAGGTCCTCTTGGATGAGAGGGGGAACTTACAGCCCTTTCTTACCTTTTAGTGACTGTCCCTCTGTTGTCTCTCTTCTTTTTTTTCCTTAATTCTTTCTTTTTATTTACTACTAATTAGAAAGGAGTACCACCATCATGGAGTCTTCGTTCCTTGAATCCCCCTCCTCCTCCCAGGCCTCTTTTTGTTACCACATCCTGTTCTGACCTGACTTCGTTACTGGACCATTCTCCAGACTTTTCCCATACCCCTGTACCTCCTGCTGGTGACACTTTGTCACCTGCTCCAGGTGCCAAGGCTCCCCCCATTTCTTCTAGTGCCTCTGTCTCTTGCACGCCTTTGACTATGTGTCCGGCTTCCCCAAATATGGTGCAACAGTTTTCAGATTGCCCAGCTGCCTCAGGTTGGGCTGTGCACGGTCCTACACCTAAACATTCCAGATCATTTGCTGAGGACAGTTCTTCGATTTTTGATCATTCCACGCAGAAACGACCTACACGACACTCTCTTTATGCACCATGTTTACAAATACACAGCGGACCAAATTCTTTTTTCTACAACCAACATCTCTAACTGATTATCTTTAAGACCACAGTATTGGTAAAGCTCTTTTACAACATGTTGGCCAAAATATATCCTTTCACATTCTTTGGAGTGGTGCGTACATGGTTACAGTTCAGAATGCAGATCAGGCTCATGAACTTTCCCATCTTCTATTGATTACATTCCCATCACAGTTCAAAAGCACCCTACTCTCAATTCTTGCAGCAGTACCGTGGTCATACCATGTACCATTGTACAGTGTGATTTTCTGTCTTGCGGTGATGATATTTTAGAGCAATTAACTCTTCAGGATTTTCCGATTCTCAAAATGGATACATAGGTTCTGCCCGCTTGTGGGCAGAGGCACTTTCTCAGAAGCATCACCGGTTTAACCTTCGACTGCCGTTAACTCCTGTCCTCCGTTTATATCGCAGGACATCGCCTAGAGGTCTGTAAAGTGGCCCCTCACCTCAACAGTGTCGAAATTGTTGGCTCTTCGGACATCCCACTAAATACTGCAGGTCTGCAGTGGCGTGCCCAGCCTGCGGTGCCGTGGATCATGCCGATACATCCTGCAGTCTTCCCCCACTTGTCTTAATTGCAATGAAATTCATCCCTCTTTTTCTCGCCGATGTCAGGTCTATCTTAATGAACGTGAAATCCTTTGTCTTAAGGAGAGCAAAGGCCTTCAGGGGAATCTTCCTCATGTTCCTTATTCTTGAGTAGCTAGGAGACCTCCAACCCTTGTGGTCCCTCTGCCTACCAACTCCTTGGTACCATGTCTTCTGGGGTCTCCCTCTTCTTTTGCGGTTTTACCCTCTGAAACCACCACCTCCTTACTTCTTCCTACTTCTACTTCTTCATTTCACACGCTAGCTTCTCATTCTGCGAGGCCTCATGTGCCTGCACCTTCTTCATGCCTATCCCCTATGAAGCTGAACCTGTCTCCTAAGTCCAAGTCTCTTCGCATTCCTCTGGCTCTTACAATTCCCCAACGGTTGTCCTTTTCGGCCTCAGTGCCTATTTCTCACCCCATTTCTAACTCTCACACGTAGGTGGAGGTTCAACCCCCTCGTGTGGTTCCTTCTTCTCCTGTGCCTCCCTAGTCTTCTTCCCTTGTTCCTTTCCAGCCTCCTTCCTCTCCTGTTCCACCAGAGGACACTTCTCTCCCCGCCAGCACATCTCTCCAGGTTAATACTCCCCTCCCCTCTCAGACCTCTTTGGTTCCCTCCATAGTCTCCCTGTCTCTACTTGCTCTACCTCACCTGTCTCTGAAGTCATAGTATCGGCATCTTCCTTGTCCACTGCCTTGTCATGCTATCTCTGAGTATACTGAGGTGGTGAAACCCTCCATGGACACCAGTGCACCTCCTTATACCCCTTCTTAAAAAAAAAAACTCTCACAGCAATCTTTTCCATCACAGCATTCTGATTCCTTCTTGCTTACATGCTCTCCCTTGCAGTCACACATTCACTTGACTGACCCTACCAGCCCGTAGATTTTATACCGTCTCATTGTTGGCATACCTATATTTTTGAATAATGACATTTACAATGGAATATTCGTGGCCTCAGGGGTAATCAGGGAGAGCTCCAGGTGTTGCTCTCCCAGTTATCCCCAGTATGTGTTGGGTTACAAGAGCCTAAATTTTGTTCGGTAGTTATCCTTCCAATATCAGGCTATGTGCTGTTGCATTCTTCTGATCCCTTTCCTGACGAAACTTTTAATGAGAGTGCACTTCCTGTGCACGCTGGTATATCATTTCAATAGGTCTTTGTTGTATTTTTAATAATATCTTTATTTCTACAAGTACATGGACAAGGTATACAGGCCTAGCTGACATCAATGATATATATTTCTGTATCGAAACACATCCTATGGAAACACATCCTAATGTTATACAGCCGTACTGGGGATTCAAACTCCAGACCTCAGTGTGTGAGCTGAGTGCACCAGGAATCAAGCTACGGGACACCCTAACATTCATTCATTCTCAGCTGCATTATATTGCAGTCCATATTTATGTGCACAGGTGGTATACAGCTTGCTCTCTATATCTCTCCCCTTCCCATACGTTCTGTATCTTGGATGTTGCGTTCTTGATCTCTTCTCTGCCGCCGCCCATCTTGTTAGGTGATTTTAACTCTCACCATCATCTTTGGGGAGGGTTCCACTGTGACTCTCATGGTGATTAGTTGGAGACTCTTCTCATTTCTCATCCTCTTCATGTTTTAAATACGGATGTTCCTACCTATTTTGACCCTCGCACTCAGTCTCTTGCATCGATCTTTCTATCTGTTCCTCGCCAATTGCTCTTCATTATGCTTCGTCTGTTCTCCAGGATTTGCACGACAGTGATCACCTTCCTATTATTCTTACTTCTACTACATACTTCCTTGTAGCCCCTGTTGGCAATTTAGACAAGCTAACTGGGACATACTCTCATCTTACCACTTTTTGGGGGAGGACCCTACTTCGTCCTCTATTGATAAGCTGGCCCACCAGTTTTCGACCTTAGTTTTGACTGCAGCATCACAGTCTATTCCTGAAACCTCAAGTATGCATTCTCAGACATGCATGCCTTGGTGGTCTCCTGCATATACCCGTGCAGTGCATTTGAAAAGTGTTGCATGGGGTCGTTATCGATATAACTGGACCGCAGATCATCTTTTGGATTTTAAGCAAGCAAGGGCAGTCGCTCACCACGTCATATGCGATGCTAAACATACTTGTTGCCACGACTACGTTTTTACTGTTACCTCGACTTCCCCTATGTGTGCGGTTCGGAAGAAGGTACAGAAGTTGTGTGGGAAGTATGCACCAGACCCAGCTCCTGTTTTGTGGGTTGCTGGTGTTAGTATTGCAGAACCTCTTGAAGCTGCCATGGAAATCGCAAACTATCTCGTCCATGTCTCGCAAGGGCTTCACCTCTGTCCCTCGTTTCTCGCCTCTAAGTCTGCCAGGGAGCAATCGCCCTTGGATTTCTCTTCTAATGGGATGGGGTAATGTAATGTACCTTTCACTCTCCAAGAGCTAGAGTCCAGGTTTTCCGCTTGCCAGTCATCGGCAGCTGGGCCCGATGATATTCATATCTGTATGCTACAACACCTGCATTCTACAGCCCTTACAGTCCTTTTGCGTCTTTTCAATCTTGTTTGCAAGCGAGGGGTTCTCTCTCAACAATGGAAATCTGCCATTGTACTGCCGTTTCGCAAACCAGGAACTTCGGGACTTCATACCTCTCACTATCGTCCACTGCTCTGACCAGTGTAGTCTGCAAGGTGATGGAACAATTGGTGAATAGATGTCTGATATGGTATTTGGAGACTCAAAATAGTATTTCTTCTCGACAACATGGTTTTTGCAAGAGCTGCTCAACTTAGGACTCCTTGCTTCACTTAGATACATTTGTGCAAAATGCCTATGCTAATAAACACTCCGTCCTAGCAGTCTTTTTTTTATCTCGAGATAGCATATGACACCACTTGGACGTATAACATCTTAGCCCAGGCCCACTGTTTAGGCCTCCACAGTAATCTAACAACCTTCCTTGCTGCTTTCTTATCTGAAAGACATTTTCGTGTCCATGTTGGCGTCTCTCTTTCCTTAGATTTTGTTCAGGCAGAGGGAGTTCCACAAGGTTGTGTCCTTAGCACTACCCTTTTTCTCTTGGCTATAAATGGCCTATCTTCCGTTCTTCCATCACATATTTGGTCGTCATTTTATGTGGATGGCTTCGCTAGAGCCTATGCAGGCGCTAAATGTTGTCTGGTTGCGGCCTTCCTTCAGAATGCGATTGACCGTGTTTCCCATTGGGCCACTTCAAAAACATGGAAAATTTCAATTTTTCCTAGTCCGTCCCAGATTTCCATGTATTTCTCTCCCCATCCCAGAGAC